TCCTCCTCCTCCTCCTCCTCCTTCCCTCCCTCCCTCCCTCCCTCCCTCCCTCCCTCCCTCCCTCCTTCCTCCCTCCGCCTCCCTCCCTCCCCTCCCCTCCTTCCATCCCCCATCCCCTTCCTCCCTCCTTCATCCCCGCCACTTCCTCCCTAATCTCCCTCTGCTTCACCTTCTGCAGGTCTTGGTGCCTCCGGTGCGCCTCCTCCAGCTGCAGATGGACTTTCAGCAGAGTCCACAACACCCCGCAAACTTCTCACCTGCTTCTCGAGGTTTCTCAGGTCCTGTAAGTATCCCCGAGCTCGAGGCGGGGAGGTGACTGTGATGCCCGTGGCCTCCTGCGGAGAGGAGGAGGGAGGAGGAGAGATTCTGAAGAAGAGCTTAGGAGGAAGCAAGGTTGAGATTGAAGATCTGAAGGAGAGGGAGTAGAGGGGGGCAAGGAGGAGGTAGGGAGTAGAGGGGGAAGAAGGAACCGAGAACAATGATAGAAGGAAAAGGAGCAGGAAGAGCAGGAGGAGGATGGAGAAGAGCAGGAGGAGGAGGAAGAGCAGGAGGAGGACGAGCAGGAGGAGGACGAGCAGGAGGAGGACGAGCAGGAGGAGGTGACAAGAACGATGAAAGAGGGGAGAGGCGGAGGATGAGGAGGGAGACACAGGAGGGAGGGGAACGGGGCGGGGAGGAGGGTAGGGGCGGTGGTGGGATACCCTGAGGTAGGAGGTAGGGAGCAAAGCGCAGCCTCAAGGTTCGCGTTTGCTGTCTGCAACTCGTCGTTGATCTCATGGGAAAGCTTCAGCCTGTAATGAAGAAGAAGTCAGGGAAAGGAACAAGAGGATGATGATGATGATGATGATGATGATGATGATGATGATGATGATGATGATGATGATGATGATGATGATGATGATGATGATGATGATGATGATGATGATGATGATGATTGTGGTGGTGGTGGTGGTGGTGGTGGTGATGATGATGATGATATGATTGAATGATGTTGATGATGATGGTGGTGGTGGTGGTAGGGAAACGAGGAGGAGGAGAGAATCGAGGACAAGGAAAGAAACGAGGACAAGGAGAGAAACGAGGAGGAGCTGGATGCTAGGGAGGAGGGGGAGGAGGAAGAGGAAGAGGAAGAGGAAGCGAAAGGGGACACCTTTGCCTTAGGAGAGAAACTTCCTGGTTTAGTGAGTCTCTCTCGAGGACAAGCGAGTTGAAGTCATTGGGAGAGCCAGTGGAAAGGACTGAAGAAGAGCAGCGAGAGGAAGAGGAGGAGACCGAGACAGGGACAGCGAGAGAAGGAGAAGAAGAAGAAGAAGATGTTAGAAATCGAATGTCAACATGCAAAGTGAAGGATCCAAAGCGAGGATAAGCAGAGTAGGAAGAAGATGGGAAGAGGCGGAGACAGAAGACGATCAGGAGAAGTTGACTACGAAGAAAGAGGGTGAACTGAGAAGAAGGACGAGGAGGAGGAGGAAGTGGTGGTGGTGGTTGTGAAGGAAGAGAAGGGAGTGAAGAGGAGGAAGAAGAAGATGAGGAGGAGGAAGAAGAAGAGGAAGATAAGGTAGAGGAAGAGGACGAGAACGAGAACGATCAGGTAGAGGAGGAAGAGAAGGGGGCAGGAGGAGGATCAGGAGGAGGAGGAGACGGACATTGAACTGTTCGTGCCCTGCTGTCATGCTTCTCGTCGTCATCCATGAGGTCTACTGGAGAGGAGACGGAGCTCGAGTACTTGAGACTTTCTGGTGTTGTTGGACCTGAGCAGCACAAGACTAGTCACAGAAGGAGAGGACGAAGGCGAGAGGCTGGAGCAGGGAGGGAGAGGAGGAGGGAGGGAGAGGAGGAGGGAGGGAGAAGAGGAGGAGGAGGAGGAATCATGTATTCCATGCGACAAGGACGCGAACAGTCGCAGCCATCATGTAAGAACACAGTAGATCATGCATGGCTGCATATCTACAATACCTGGCAATACTCGTCGTCTCTGTGCTTGAGTGGGAGAGTTTGGACCTGTTTGTGTAGCAGCAGGGTGTAGTTCTGATCGCTCTGAACAAGTCTGAGACAAGACGTCAGAGCAAGTGCAATGAATGAAGAAAGTAGATCACGTGTGTCTGGATGTCTGCCGGCTTGAGTTTCTTCCATGACTGTTTGCCCTGCAAAGGAAAGGCAATCATTCCAAACCAAGTCCGAGAACCTGTTCACTTCCACTCTTACCTTGTCAATTCTACTCTTAACCTCAGGTTTCAAACAGCTTCGTACTCTTGTTTCAGAATCTGTCTTTCCTTTGCTTGCAGCCGACGACCTAGCAACGCTCTTCTTGACCAGTTTCTTCTCCATCGTCTCCTTCTTATTCACAGATGCGCATGTGGCCTTTCCGTGCATTCTTGTCTCATCTTTCCCTCGCTGTCTTGAAGCTTCTCTCCCTTCCAGAGGAAAGACCAACATCAAACCATCATCGCTGTACCTGAGAGAGATCTTCTCCTGCCTCCCTTGTGCTCCAGAGAACTGGACCGAGCAACATTCCTTTGCCGTAATCCCTCCATCACCTCGGTAGGGGATATTCTCCAAGGGAGGGTCTTGCGTCAGTCTGCTCTCCATGACGCTTCCTTGTCACATCTCCCGCTGATCTGGGGAGCGTGAAACATGAGAAACATTGACAGGTTTGTTGCCATGAACATTGTGCGCTCCTGGACATGGCAATTCTACAATTTCATCTCTAGTCTTATTTTGGTAAACCTTTTGCTTTCTTGCTGAAATGGCAATTGCTTCTGATTGAAATGAGAGAGATTGATCATGAAAGCTCAATCATAGAAAGCTCATTCTCCGCACTCGTTTCTTTTGTTTGCAGCAGCAGCAGCAGCAGCAGCAGCAGCAGCAGCAGCAGCAGCAGCAGCAGCAGCAGCAGCAGCAGCAGCAGCAGCAGCAGCAGCAGCAGCAGCAGCAGCAGCAGCAGCTTGATTTGCATTCCTGGTGCAACTGCTCCTTCTCTCCTGCTTGTATTCATCCTTCTTCTCAACCTCATTTCTCTCCTCCTTCTCCTCAGCCCGATGTATGTCCTGAGTCTTCCTTTCGTTCCTAATCGCCTCTCCCTCCCTCCCCTCCCCTCCCCTCCCCTCCCTCCCTCCCTCCCTCCTCTATGTTGTTTTTAAAAAATTTCTACACGCCAATTCGGTTGCTCCACCTACCCTATGGTTCAACTTCAAAATTCTGGTATGACCCCCTTTTGTCCCACACCCTACCCACTACAGTTCCTGGTAATGATTGGACTGAGATAGGGTACAAATATAACCCCTACCCCTCACCTATCCATCACCTCTTCTCCCTACCTCGCGATGTAGCCGCTCCCCCGAGCCTGCAGAATCATGGGCCATGGCATGTCGACCTGAGCAACGCGACTCCATCACCAGCTCGGCACCCAGCAAGCCCTTCCCCTGCCTCTCAGCAGCTATGCAGCGCATCTCTACCCGCCAGCGACAGCAAGCCAGCCCTCGGGTCTGCTGCCTTCGGAGCAGCAACGAAATCAGGGGCGAGGTAGTGTACTGGACGATGAGGGCTCGTCGACCAGCCCTCAGCACCTGCAGCTCTCTGGACGATCAGCTCCAAGGACAGAACGTGAGGTAGGCTGGTATCTGAATATACGGTGCATTGGTTCGTGATCGTTCAATGGTGAGTAAGGAGTAAGGCGAGCCGAAGCAGCTGTCTTGCAGATCGACGTCCTGCTGCGTCTGCCATAAGGTCAGCCGCTCGAAATCCGATGGGATAGCCTGCCCTTCGAACAGCGATAGCGTGTCTTATCACCTTCAATGAGGACAACCGAAGTTCAGCAGACTCGTGGAGGTATCAAGGAAAGTTTGTCAAGGTCATGTTGTGTAGTCAACACACACACCGGCGACTTCACGAGAAGGGTAGAGATGCGACAAGACTGAGATCAAAAAAGTAGAAATCTCTCAGTTCACCTGAGGTAAACTACACACAAACATCACTCTCTTCTCTTTTCCCCTCCCCGCCTTCCTATCAGCTTGCGCTCCCAAGCTCATCGAACGACAACAGCCCTTTCAAGAGGACGATTGACTCAGCCCTGTCTTGTCCCTCCCCCTCTTCTTGCGCCTGCTCCTGCTCCTGCTCCTGCTCCTGCTCCTGCTCCTGCTCCTGCTCCTGCTCCTGCTCCTGCTCCTGCTCCTGCTCCTGCTCCTGCTCCTGCTCCTGCTCCTGCTCCTTTCCCTCAGCGTCATCTGACAAGGGCGAAGGCTCGACCTGAGGAAGCAGACGAGGCGGGGGTTTACAAGGCTGTAGGAGAGCAGCACGTAGCGCGAAGTAGAAGCTCCAGTCGATGATCTCAGAGTAGAAGAGCAGGAGGGCAGCCGGCGACCGCGTCTGCCTGCTGCTGCCATGGCAGGGACGGAGAGCGTCGATATGCATGTCGAGCCTGCAGCAGCGGCTGGAAGCGACAAGGTCAGAGCCCAGCTGGAGACGGAGGTCAGCCGTGGAGGTATTGGCTTCTGAGCTAGTTTACTGACGGTTGGGTACAATCTGTGCTGATGGGTCTAGCTAGCGTCATCAGTGAGGCAGCGGCTGACACTAACCTTCTCCCACGATCACATGCAGCACAGCCCCCTCCTGCTCTCGCTCGTCCTCCTTCCCATCGTTGACTTCATCCCCAAACAGCAAACACACATGTTGTGAAGGCAAAGAAAACCCAACAGTAGTGTATCACACTCAAACATACCATCAATAAACTACAACCAGCAATAAAAACATAACTCATCTCTCCTCTTCCGTTGATAAATTGAAGACATCCTCTTCTATCCTCAGATTATAAACCCAGGTTTTTGAGCTTCTGAATGATCTGCCGCTTCGTCCTCATCGCCTCCTCCCAGCCCTTCCTCTCCCCCTTCACGTCCTCTGTCCTGATGTCGTAGTACGTGGCCGACAGCCGCTCCTCCGGCTCCAGGAACTTGTTGGACGTCTTGAAGGAGCTCCCCGTCCTGCACAAGGACACATCGCCCATGAAGAACCGCGACAGCCTCCAGCTCTTGATGAACATCCGCCGCTCATGCCGAAGCACCAGGTCCGCGAACGGGAAGAACCAGATCCTGTGGACGTCGTGCGAGTCGATCTCGTAGCTGCGGTTCATCATGGCGATGATCAGGTTGAGGAGGAGCAGCTCCGAGAGGATCGACCATGAGATGAGCAGCATGAAGGAGAGCGTCGGGTTGACAGATGCGAGGAGCAGCTGGGTGGAGAAGACGTAGTCGTCTCCGAGAGAGTTCCAGGTCAGCTGGAGGAAGCTGGCCCCCGGGGTCGTGAGGTAGTTGAAGAACCTCGTGCTGTTGTTGTCCTCGTACAGCTTCTGCACGTCTGCGGTCTGCAGCATGGTGTACAAGGCGAGGCTGAACCCGGTCAGCGTGACCCCGTAGATGACGCAGTAGAGGCTCACGTCCTGTAGGAGAATGTCGTAGATCATGATCATGATCGTTCCCACCCGCTTGATCGGCAGCAGCAGGTGGAGCAGCAGCGAGAATACCAGCACCGTCGACATCGCCAGCAGCAGCACGTCGGCAGCCGTGTCCGTAGGAGCGTGTATTGGGATGCAGAAGACCAAGACGGCAGTGAGGATGGAGAGGATGGAGGAGATATTCTTCTGCAGCAGCTTCTTGAAATCCATCCTCTTGTACCTCTCCGAGGGGTTCCTGTCGGTCTGCTTGAGGTGTCGATGGGTCCAGCCGAAAAATAAGAGCCATACCCCCAATGCCTTCACCAAGACGTTCAGCGCAAGAGTCCACGAGTGGAGCGAGTGTAGCTCAGGTCCCTGCTGCTTCTGATCCCACTGCTTCACCTTGAGGACGAGGAGCGCGACGAAGGCGACCAGGAACAAGGAGAAAGGCAGGGCCGTGTCGATCAAGTAGATGCGACGACCGAAGCGCTTCCACTTGGTCTCGATGAGCCGGTTGATGAAGGGATCGTTGACAAACTCCTCCACCTCATGCTCTACTATCACTTCCAGAGCGCTCCTCCACTTGGGGTGCGAGTGCATGCGCGTCTTCTCGGCCGCAGCCGGCCACCACCAGCGTAGAGACAGGGCTGCCTTGCTTGTCGTTTGCTCCTTCTGCTCCTGCTCCTCCTCCTTCTCCTTTTCGTTCTTCACCTCCTTCTTCTCCCTTCTGAACGAGTCGATCTGGTCCAGACTCACCTGGGTCCGCTGCTTCGACCCGAATGCCCACAGAATCGTTTTCATGTATCGCTCCAGGATGAAGTAGAACGTGTCCACGTCCCCATGCCGGGCTGCGAGCGTAAGCGGGGTGTAGCCGTCCTTGTTCAGCATGGTCAGCAGCGTCTCTGCCTCTTCCTCTGCCTCTTCCTCTGCCTCTTCCCCTGCCTCTTCCTCTGCCTCTTCCTCTGCCTCGCCCATGCTGCTTCGAGAGGTCTTGCTCCCGTCGCCTCCAGTCATGTCCCGCAGGATGTTATCGATACGCTTTTCCGCCTCGATCAAGCACGATATGACCTCGTGATGTCCGTGCAGTGTAGCTATGTGCAGAGCCGTGTTGCCGAACTCGTCCGCGGCATGCAAGATGCTCTTCAAGTCTTGTGCGTTTATCTGAGCTTCGTTGAGCCATTCAGGAGCAAGCACGTGCTTTAGCATCAGACAAATCCCTTGCCAGCCGTCAAGAGTTTGCAAGCAATCACACTTGCTTTCCTTATGACTGACCAGCTGACTGTAGACAAAGTCAAGGATGGCCTTGCACACATCCTCGTTGCCTGTGCTGGCAGCAAACGACAGCGGATACTGTCCCCAGTACTTGTGAGACCCGGTGGAGGAGTCCTTGTTGTCTTCGAGCTTCGATAGGGCTACAGGCTTCCGGTCGGTGCCAATGGGCTCGTCGGTCAGATATGCTCTGAGCAAGCCGAGCCGGGAGACATCGACATCGGTCTTGATGAGCGAAGGGAGGAAGAAGTCTCCGATCGCCCTCCGGTGTAGGATGAGATCACTCTCTGTGACTTTGGACTTGTTGTGGTCGCTGCTGGGTTTCGGATACAAGATCCACTTTACCATCCCACATACACCGCCAAAGCAAGCTTGTGTCCTGCTGCTCTTCACCTGGCCCTTCGCTTCTTCACCCTGGCCCTTCGCTTCTCCGTCCTCGCCCTTCGCTTCTTTGCCCTCGCTCTGAGCGACTTCGTTTGATGGCTTCGACGTTCGTTTTGGCGGTGCAGTAGCGTATCTTTCAAGCAGCCATTCCACAGTCTCCTTATCCTCGTTGGCGATGCATATGTGGAGGATGGTCTCACCTGTGTACAAGCCGCGAGTGGCTGCAAACTTGCCGTCTTTCTGCCAACGTTGGAACTCGCTTTCATAGCCAAGCAGCACCTGCTTTTCCGAGAACCAATTGGCTTCCAGAAGCTTTGTTGCGAGTCTCAGCATAGATCGTACATTGTCTTCGCTGGTGTATGCGAGGAGGAAAGCGATGTGGACAACGGAGTCACCCATGGGACCGATCGGGATTCCAAATGTTGTATGATCGTTGATGCGCTGTTTGAGGCTTGTCAAGTTGGTTTCTACCCAGTCGTCCAGTTGAACGGAGGACAGCTCCTTCGCTTTGCTGAGATCTGAAAAGAATTTCCACAAGTCTGTTTCAACTTGCAGCTTCGTGTGTAAGCTTCGTATCGATGAAACATCTGACAAACGTCTCGAAGTTATGATGCTTGTAAGAGTTTCCTGTTTCCTGTCATTGTTCCCCCTCACACCATCGTTCTGCTTCGGTTTCGCACTTTCTCCTATGAGTTTTGCTGCTGGTGCGAAAACTTCGATGTAATACTGGTCCTTGTTGTCATTGCTTCCATTGTTGTCCACCCTACGTTCAGCCCCCTCGTGTTGTTCACCGATTTCTCTATGGTCTCCTACCTCCATAGGTTGTGAAACTATCACGACTCACTTGGATTTTTCTTCCGAGTGTTGCTTCACAGTGTCCTGTCCTTCCTCCTGCGAACTCTGAACGTCCTCATATCTCTTCATACGACCTTGTCCCCTCGCTTCTGCTCTTCCCCCGCCTCCTCTACCTAGCAGTTGCTGTCAGTTCTTTGCTGTGTTGAACGAACCAAAGTCGAAATAAAAAAGAAAGAAGGACAGTTGTCCTTCCTTGGCTGCACCCCTACCCATCCTTTTCTAAGATCAACTCTGTCCTTAGTAGCAAGTACCCCTCCATTTACATCCTTATGAAGAATGAAACACCACCTTGTTCTTCTCTACACCTCCCTACCCCATCGTCTCTGCAAATAGGGCTGCGGTGTCCTACCCGACATGCAGCACTTCCTACCGGTGCAGGTTGGGGCGATGAGGAACGTGGCGCTCATGCTTGCGGTACTTTGCATGCAGCAGAGCGAGTCACAAGATCCGAAGAGGTGAAGAGAAGGAGCACGCCTTCCTCAACTCGTCACCATGCTGACCTCGTTGTTTCCAGCATCATCTCCACTTGGATCAGGGGTCCCAAGAGCAGGATGAAGAGTGAAGAGAACCATCTTGATTTCGATGCGTCCAAAAGCTCATCCTTCCACCTCTCACCACATAGATTCTCTGTGAAGCATCAACTTTCCATGTAAGAGGTTGTCTGGATCAGCCCCTCACGACTGATTTCCTACGACAGGGCTTTTCCCAAGTTGTTCATCGGACTCGATGTTGTCCGTTTGGGCCCTTGCGACGTTACGAGCCCTTTCGCCATCATCAAAGTTTCGGACGAGCACGATGTTCAGAACTGCAATGGCATCCTCGGCCTTGGCTACTCTGACAGGACTGGTAGCCTCTCCTTTCTAAGGACGTTAATGTCAACTGCCAGACCGAGTTGGCACGTAGAGCAGGGGGAGGACGCCGTTCTGATGTCAAACAGGAAGTTTGCTTTCTTGGCGAATGACAAGGCTGGAGAGCTTCAGCTCGGGGGCTACGATGAATCTTCTGTGGCAGATCCTGTCTTCTTCACCCCAATGTTGAACTCGAGCGGGTACGCGGCGCATGTCCTGTCGTTGAGGTACAACGGGGTCGAGCTGCTGCGGAGCAGCTCAAGTGATCAGCGCTATGTCATCATCCCCGACACAAGTGCAAGTTGCATCATGCTACCAAGTGTTAGCCCAACGGGCTCCTCGCCGTCCGTCTATTCAAGTTTCCTCGCCGAGTACGACAGCAACCCGAGCGGGGAGTTTGAGTTCACAGTGGGGGGGCTGGCAACGCAGGAAGGGAGAGGAAGCGGGCTGAATGGATACATGCAGAACACCACGTACAAGTTTCTCATCCCCCCTTCCAAGTGGAAGCCTCCCAGCGGGTGTGTGGAACCCTCGAAAAGTGCGAGCAGGATTGTGTTTGGTGATCCCATCTTTCGCTCGCTCATGGTAGTGTTCGATCTTGAAGGCCCGGTCTACAAGCTCGGTTTCGCAGCCATTCGACACGGGTACAGCATCGGGAAAGCTCCAATGAATCCCTGGAAATCAAGAAATCGAGAGTTCCACAAGATAACCGCTTTTCGCCATAGGGTCCGTCGGGGCAGCCCGCAGTCGCTGAGCAGAGGAAATTTCACCTCCGACGCGAGGTCAAGTCTGAGCTCCTCAGGGAGCGATCTAATAGGGGATCATGAGGTAAGGTACCTCCTCCACCTGGGCGTGGGGACGCCGATGCAGACAGTCCGAGTGATTCTTGATACGAGCACCTCCCTACTCTCTCTCTTCTCCAAGTCATGGTCCTTGGATCAGGGTAGCAACGGGCTCTACGACGCGTTCAACGAGCTCAAGGTCGGGACGAGTGCGAAATGGGCCTGGGTGGGCCTTGGGTTCCTAGGAGTCATCCTGGTAGCTGTGTTCCTACCCATCTGTGCCAGGAGGATGAAGCGGAGCCCGGCCAACCAGTCTGCTTCTGGAAAGAAGTACTACACTGCTCCCGTCTGCCCTGGCTCAGGTATGTGGGCCTGAGTACAGCCACAGAGGGTAAATAATAAACGAGGGTAGATGATAACTGAGGGTCAACAATAAACGAGCTTCATTTCCTTGAACATCGCCCCAGGAATCCTCACAGTCGGACTAGCAGGCAGGCAACTGAAGTGGGTTCCAATACTCCCACGTTGTTCCTGACGGTTGTGCGCAAGCTGTGAGGAAAGCATGACTGATCAGTGGGGACGGTGGGCTACGGAAGTCAACTGCTCGATCGGACGGCTGATAAGGCTGCTGCTGCTGTGCTGTGCTGCAGCCTCCGTTGGTCGATCACGACAAGAAGCTTCTGAGCTGACACTGAGAGGCTGCAATCAAGGAAGCGGAGATCGAAGTCATAAGTTGTAGTCTGCGCGGTGGGTGGGCGGGGCCAGTGTCACAAGTTGTTTTGCGGAGCAGCAACACTGCTGACAGAGTGGCCCGGCCGGCCGGGCCCCGGTGCCGCCCGTCACAGTGCTCGCCATATTCCATGACCTACTAGGCTCAGAGCCAAAGTCCAGGCGACTCCATGCACAGAGCTAGCAACGGAAAGAAAGATGTCAACTTGTGTTGACCCGGCTTCCCTGGTACGAGGAGCGTTGAAGGTCACTCTGCCGATGGCGGGGGGAGGGGAAGGCCACAAGTGCGGGGAAGGGCCGCGAGCAAGGAGAGGGTCACTGAAGGAGGAGGAGGAGGCTGCTGCTTCCGATGCTGAAAGTGTGGAAAGCTCTGAAGAGCGTGAGAGGGGCGGGGGCGGAGGGGAGGAGATCGAGGAGGAAGACCCCGTGCAAGTTCAGCCGAAGGCTCAAGGAGACATATCTTCGACTGAGTCATCAGCTGCAGTGAGTGAAGGAAAGAAGACGCCAACAAGACCTCACTGGACACTTGAAAAGGCAGGTACACTCGTGAGATCAACCTTTCCAGTCGGAAATCACACATCGGAAAAACTAGAGAAATCACCAACGAAATCTCGCTGGGGTGTGGCAATTGCAAACGTAAGAAATGTCATGAAAATGACCGCAGGCTTCCGATTCAGAAATCACAGTACATGCAAGAACTCGGACGACATCAGATTTTATGTGGTGACTAAAGATGGCCATGGAACAACCAGTGATCCCCTTAAGCTCCGAGAAAACTCCCAGAAAGCTCAAATTCAAAGTGAAATCTGGAAGTTCTTCCAACGTCTCAGTGAGAAGAAATCTGATGCTGGAGGCAGCGTTGAACATGTTATGCAAGAATTGCAAATCGTCATCTCTCAAGAGCAAATCAAAAGTCAAGAAAGGGAAAAACAAGAGCAACCAGGAATTCACACGGAAACGCATCCTAAGCAGGACCCACCTGAAGGAGCGAATGACTCAGCACGACATTCAGGAAATTCCCACAGCATGCCCAAACGTATTCCGATCGGTCCCATGGGTGACTCCGTTGTCCACATCGCTTTCCTCCTCGCCTATGGTAGCAACAATGAAGACTTTATGGTGAAGTTGGCAAAGACGCTTGCTTCAAAGGAAGGTGGATGTTACACCGAACAGCAGGTGCTGCTTGGCTATGAAAGCGAGTTCCAACGTTGGAAGAAAGACGGCAAGTTTGCAGCCACTCGCGGCTTGTACACAGGTGAGACCATCCTCCACATATGCATCGCCAACGAGGATAAGGAGACTGTGGAATGGCTGCTTGAAAGATACGCTACTGCACCGCCCAAACGAACGTCGAAGCCATCAAACGAAGTCGCTCAGAGCGAGGGCAAAGAAGCGAAGGGCGAGGACGGAGAAGCGAAGGGCCAGGGCGAAGAAGCAAAGGGCCAGGTGAAGAGCAGCAGGACACAAGCTTGCTTTGGCGGTGTATGTGGGATGGTAAAGTGGATCTTGTACCCGAAACCCAGCAGCGACCATAACAAGTCCAAAGTCACAGAGAGTGATCTCATCCTACACCGGAGGGCGATCGGAGACTTCTTCCTCCCTTCTCTCATCAAGACCGACGTCGATGTCTCCCGGCTCGGCTTGCTCAGAGCATATCTGACCGACGAGCCCATTGGCACCGACGGGAAGCCTGTAGCCCTATCGAAGCTCGAAGACAACGAGGACTCCTCCACCGGGTCTCACAAGTACTGGGGACAGTATCCGCTCTCGTTTGCTGCCAGCACAGGCAACGAGGATGTGTGCAAGGCCATCCTTGACTTTGTCTACAGTCAGCTGGTCAGTCATAAGGAAAGCAAGTGTGATTGCTTGAAGACTATGAAAGGCAGCGTCAAGTCGATCTGTCTGATGGTACAGCACGTGCTTGCTCCTGAATGGCTCAACGAAGCTCAGATAAACGCACAAGACTTGAAGAGCATCTTGCATGCCGCGGACGAGTACGGCAACACGGCTCTGCACATAGCTACACTGCACGGACATCACGAGGTCATATCGTGCTTGATCGAGGCGGAAAAGCGTATCGATAACATCCTGCGGGACATGACTGGGGGCGACGGGAGCAAGACCTGTCGAAGCAGCATGGGCGAGGCAGAGGAAGAGGCAGAGGAAGAGGCAGAGACGCTGCTGACCATGCTGAACAAGGACGGCTACACCCCGCTTACGCTCGCAGCCCGGCATGGGGACGTGGACACGTTCTACTTCATCCTGGAGCGATACATGAAAACGATTCTGTGGGCATTCGGGTCGAAGCAGCGGACCAAGCTGAGACTGGACCAGATCGACTCGTTCAGAAGGGAGAAAAAGAAGGAGAAGGAGAAGGAGCAGGAGCAGGAGCAGGAGCAGGAGCAGGAGAAGGAGGAGAAGGAGAAGGAGAAGGAGAAGCAGGAGGAGAAGGAGGAGGAGAAGAAGAAGAAGGAGAAGAAGAAGGAGAAGGAGAAGAAGAAGGAGAAGGAGAAAAAGCAGAAGCAGGAGCAGAAGGAGGTGAAGAAGGAGGTGAAGAAGGAGGTGAAGAAGGAGGAGGAGAAAGAGCCGGAAACAAAGAAGGAAGTGCAAACGACAAGCAAGGCAGCCCTGTCTCTACGCTGGTGGTGGCCGGCTGCGGTCGAGAAGACGCGCATGCACTCGCACCCCAAGTGGAGGAGCGCTCTGCAAGTGATAGTAGAGCATGAGGTGGAGGAGTTTGTCAATGATCCCTTCATCAACCGGCTCATCGAGACCAAGTGGAAGCGCTTCGGTCGTCGCATCTACTTGATCGACACGGCCCTGCCTTTCTCCTTGTTCCTGGTCGCCTTCGTCGCGCTCCTCGTCCTCAAGGTGAAGCAGTGGGATCAGAAGCAGCGAGGAGCTGAGCTACACTGGTGGACTCTTGCGCTGAACGTCTTGGTGAAGGCATTGGGGGTATGGCTCTTATTTTTCGGCTGGATCCATCGACACCTCAAGCAGACCGACAGGAACCCCTCGGAGAGGAACAAGAGGATGGATTTCAAGAAGCTGCTGCAGAAGAATATCTCCTCCATCCTCTCCATCCTCACTGCCGTCTTGGTCTTCTGCATCCCAATCTACACTTCTACGGACACGGCTGCCGACGTGCTGCTGCTGGCGATGTCGACGGTGCTGGTATTCTCGCTGCTGCTTCACCTGCTGCTGCCGATCAAGCGGGTGGGAACGATCATGATCATGATCTACGACATTCTCCTACAGGACGTGAGCCTCTACTGCGTCATCTACGGGGTCACGCTGACCGGGTTCAGCCTCGCCTTGTACACCATGCTGCAGACGGCAGACGTGCAGAAGCTGTACGAGGACAACAACAGCACGAGGTTCTTCAACTACCTCACGACCCCGGGGGCCAGCTTCCTCCAGCTGACCTGGAACTCTCTCGGAGACGACTACGTCTTCTCCACCCAGCTGCTCCTCGCGTCTGTCAACCCGACGCTCTCCTTCATGCTGCTCATCTCATGGTCGATCCTCTCGGAGCTGCTCCTCCTCAACCTGATCATCGCCATGATGAACCGCAGCTACGAGATCGACTCGCACGACGTCCACAGGATCTGGTTCTTCCCGTTCGCGGACCTGGTGCTTCGGCATGAGCGGCGGATGTTCATCAAGAGCTGGAGGCTGTCGCGGTTCTTCATGGGCGATGTGTCCTTGTACAGGACGGGGAGCTCCTTCAAGACGTCCAACAAGTTCCTGGAGCCGGAGGAGCGGCTGTCGGCCACGTACTACGACATCAGGACAGAGGACGTGAAGGGGGAGAGGAAGGGCTGGGAGGAGGCGATGAGGACGAAGCGGCAGATCATTCGGACATTGAAGAACGTCATGAGAGCTGACAGGCAGTAGATTCATCGACCTCGTTGGGTCTTCATCTGCTCCCTATGTTCCCATCAAGCAGTGAGTGGGAAAGTGAACATTGTATCCTATACCTCATACTCTACACCCTTCACCGCATTCCATCCGCTTGCTCCTTTCTCTTCTCTTAGGGCACAGTGTTGCCCTGGCTCGAGAGCTGCAGGAAGAGAAATTTTTTCCGAAAGTTTTTTGTGATGAGCAGGAGGAGGAGGAGGAGGAGGAGGAGGAGGAGGAGGAGGAGGATGTCAAACCCAAGCATCCAGTGAGGAGAGCCTCAACCAGACTGCTGTCAAGGCCATCGTCTTCGTCCTTGTACTCCGTATATGCTCACCGAGTCAGTTTTGCTAGCTGACTCCGCCGTGCCAGTCAGCTAGCAAACTGTTCACAGCCCGTTTAAGCTGGTTTAAGGGGCAAGGATTGTATATGATTCAATGGCTGGTGACCGTCGGCGACTGAGTTCCGACTGAGGTCAGCACTGAGGTCGTCAACTCTCTCAGGCCTGATGATCTCCAACTTGAATTTCGTAGCAGTATCCTCCGAGCTTCCGGGGCCCGGCCGGGGCCCCGGGCCGCCCGGGCCGCCGCTCAGTGACGGTCCACACCGCGGCACGAGTCTGAGTAGACCCCATAGCGCCTCTTGATTCCAGGCCGCCCCTGCTTCAAGCCCCAAGCTCCAAGCATCCAGATCTCCTAAGTCCCATATTAAGCTCAAGCCCACAACCTTACACCTTGGTTCACTACTGGGTGAGACGCAAGCCCTGAACTTGTGGCGTCTGAAAGAACTTGTGAGGTTATTAGAACCTCTGAGTCTGTTCTCAGGCGGCTTAAGCGCTGGGAACTAAGATTGTTGTCGACGGGGCAAAGGTTTTTACGGCCCCGTCACTGCTGCTTACTGGTACCGGCTCACAGTCAGGGGTGAGGGGACGGTGGTACCATCGAGCTGTCTTGACCACCCCTGGCCTGGTTCCAAAAGCTGTGATTGAAGAAGGGGTGGGGTGGTGTTGAAAGGGGGGTAGGTGCAACGGAGGGGTGGAGGGTACTTGGCCCCTGGAGAGGGGGATCGTAAAACGTGTGTGGGGAACAAAAACGCACCGTATTCGCGTCCAGATCCAAAGAGGATACGAAGAAGAGGAGCTGAGAGAGGGGAACGAGGGAAAGAGGAACAAGACTTAGAGGCAAGCGAGGTGTAGAAAACGAGGAGGACAAGGCAAGCCTTGATTGAGCGATAGTGTCGTGGTGGTGAAGGAACAAGCGATCTGTGGGGGTAGATATGGCAGTCGTGTTGCACGGCACGAAAGGAGTGGAGTAGTCCGAGACACATGGTGGCATGCTTTTACCTATTTTAGCAAACTGCTTATTCTTTGGTGAAGCAAAATACTGAATCGATGTGCAACTAGCCACAGGTTTATCCAAGAATTCAGCATCGCTCCCACTGACAACGAGCAAATATGAAATTTCTTTCCCTGACGATCACAAAGTTTGTGCTCTTGGGAACTCTTTTCTTATTCTCATCTGCTAGTGACGACCATGATCACGATGCTCATGCTGACGATGCCGATGACCATGACCATCATCATGGCGAGCTATGGTACGGACATTTCCAGCTTTCAAGTGCCGTGTATACACTGAATCTGCAAAGAGCTGGGGAGGTGTGTCAGTATCACTTGCCTGACATCGTGTTGCTCCCTCTGACATGTCTCACGTCAGGAGTACGTCGATGATTCCCTCAAGATCGCAATCTTCAAACATGCGATCATTGCAGAAAACACCACAGAGGATGCGATCGCTGCAGAGATCAAAGAGAGGTTCGAGGATGAGTTGCCTCACGTTCTGCAAGGAGAGACAGCACAGCTGGGATCGTCTTCAGCCAAGTTGCTCAACTACATCCCTGTCGACTTGTTCGAGCTGGTTCCTGACAAGATGGCTTCCAACACTGTGATCAAGTTGTCAGTGTTGGAGGCAGGAGAGTACGTTATCTTTGCCAATCATTTCCTCTCTGAGTGGGAGGGCTCGATGAGATTCATGATGGATGTGCATGGAGACGCTGTCATCCCCGATGCCTCGTCTCAGTGTCACTCGACCTTGTCCTCCTCTACTGTCTGGGGGCTCTCGATCTTGGGAGCGATGATCGGAGCTGTGATGTCACTCTCGGGCGTGTTGATTGTAGCCCCGGTGATCAGGATGAAGGAGGTGTGGGTGCTCAAGTACCTCAACTTCTTTGCTGCTGGTGTTCTCCTCTCCTTCGTTCTCGTCCATCTGATCCCCGAAGCTGGCAACCTGACCGGTGAAGTGATAAGGGGTGTGGAATACAGACTCTGAGCGCTGGTTGGCAGGCCGTGTGGATTGGAAAGTCAGCACAACCGTTCTGGCTGGGTTCTTTGCTGGTATAGATGACTTTGAGACACTTGCTCTTAAAATGATGCGGACGATGCAGGGCTTCTCATCGAGCATAGCATACACCTCTTCTTCACTCCCCAGGTCACGGAGCAGGTAACCGCCATTTCTCTGCCACGGTCCGACCTTTTGACGCCCTTTCAGGCAACCATTGGAGTTGCAAGTGGAAATCTGGCAGAGAGAGGAGAGTTGGTCCTCGTCGACCATCATGGGGAGGCAACCAAGGTGTCGGAGAAGGAGAACGCGCAAGAGATCGTGGCATGGGGAAGAATCGGCAACATCCTCATCGGTGACTTCTTTCACAACTTCTTCGACGGCGTGTCGACGGCCATCGCCTTCAAGTACTGCGGCACTGGTTCCCTTCCTTGAGCTCATACCCGCACATCCGGTCACTCTCTCTCACTAGGACTCGGCTGGATCGTCGTCGGCGCGTCAGTCGCACACGAGCTCCCACAGGAGCTGAGCGACTTTGTAGTGCTGTACAACTCAGGCTTGTACGTCTCGGAGCTTGTCAGAGCTGCTGCCTTGTCACCATTGCTCCAGGTCCATCAAGTGGGCTCTGATCAGCAACCTCATGTCCTCCCTCTCCGCTGTGCTGGGGGTATGCTTGCTCTGCCTCCTCCTCCCCTGAATTCTAACTGTTCCCGGGTCAGAGTATAGTCATTCTAGCAGCCACGGAGAGTATCGAGCACAACATCAACCACGACATGGGCCTCTGCCTTGGTTTCGGAGGAGGACTTCTCCTCTACATCGGAACAGGTACCCGAGATCTCCTGCCCTCCCTCCTCCCTCCCTGCTGCTAACAGACTCTTGCTACCCGCGTTCTCCTCGCGCTGACAAACTCACTCAGGCCTTGTAATGGACATCGTGAAAGTGAGCGACGTGCGATCAGCGATGATTTGCTGGCTGGTACGATATAAGAGTCTCATCGCGCTTTCATCCCTTCCTCACTTGCTCCAACAGTCGTTCATCCTCGGGGCTGTCGCCCTTGGCCTGACTGCCCTCAATCATATCCATTGTGAATGTTTCGGCGACGAGTCAAGTCATGAGGGTCACAATCACTGAGTGACTCCCGAACTTCCAAGTTCGCTTTACTCAAACTTTCCTTTCAAATGTCCCTGTACTAGACCAAGAGAATGTCGAATCATTGAATGTTTTATGATTGTTGCTAATAGCCTAGTAGTTCGGACCCGGTGACCCCGTCTCACGGTCAGATCGGCGGACGCCGGGTGGTCCGATCCGATCCGTCCAGTACGGTGACTTGCCAAGTTGAAAGATGATGCCTGAAGTGTTAGCACGGTGGCGGCATTCAAGCCTAGTAGTCATAGTAGCGGCGGCTGCGGGTTTAGGCAGCATCAGACTCGGAGCGAGGAGGAGGAGCTGAGGCTCATGGGCCCGCCGGGATCAGGCCCGGCCGGGCCCCCCTCAGTCCGGCCGGGCCCGGGGGGCCGGCGAGCTGAGGAGTCATGCGATCACTGAAACCCTGATAGTACCCCCACCATGTCAATTCATACCCTACCCTTCAAATAGAAGTGAAATATCTATATTCAAAAGGTAAAACTACCCCTACTTGATTCACACCCACCCGTAGCAAAATCCAGTAAAAAAGGGGAGGAGGTTGTAGGTGCTAACTAGCCAGGAAGGAGAAGGGGAAGAGGACGGGGGACGAGGAAGAGGAAGAGGAAGAGGAAGAGGAAGAGGAAGAGGAAGAGGAAGAGGAAGAGGAAGAGGAAGAGGAAGAGGAAGAGGAAGAGGAAGAGGAAGAGGAAGAGGAAGAGGAAGAGGAAAGGGACAGAGACAGAGACAGGAGAGTAAGAAGAATACAAAGATACACGTGTAGAGAGCGCATATTGTGAGCAGCAGTGTTTCAGCATGGCCAGTGTTCTGAGCTGGGTGGGTACGGTAGTACTGATCATTTCCATTGTGATGGGAGTCATTGGAACATACTTCCCTGAGCTGTTCTTGAAGATACCAAGTGGTGTGATACTCTGGGCAATGTTCGGGAACCCGGTTCCTCCTTACATCCTTTCGGATCCTTACACCATGGGAGAGTTTCCCACGTGGGCGCGCAAGGGGGATGTTATTGTGGCTGCTGCACCCAAGGCAGGGACGACGTGGATGTTGTACTGTTCGCATCAGATCAGGATGAAAGGAAGAGACTACAACTTCACCGATGTGAATATCGAGACGCCCTGGCCCGACTTGGTCCATCGACCGGGCCAAACTTGGAAAGACATCAAGTCGCTGTTGAATACGACTGTGCTGCCGGACGGGTCGAGGCTGAAGGATCATTGGGACAATCCGAGCCATCCTTTTCGCATCTTTAAATCCCACTATCATCCCTACAAGAGGAACGGAAAGCCGTACCAGGTCCTCCCAGTGCGGGAGTTCCCCAACATCAAGTTCATCGGGATAGTAAGGAACGGTCTGGATGTGCTGGCGAGCTTCTGTACCTTCTTCTACAACCACCGTCCTGACTTCAGGAAGATGTGGGGAGGGTTTCCCATGGCGTTCAAGAGCAACGAAGAATGTATGAACTTCCTCCTCCCCGACGGTCCTCTCGACTACATCTTCTTCGGATACGCCAAGGACTGGTGGGAGATTCGCAACCTTCCCAACGTCCTCCTGCTGCACTACTCGGACATGTCCAAGGACCTTGTTGGAGGAGTGAAGAAGATGGCAAAGTTCTTGGAGGTCGACCTGAAGCCAGACGAGCTCGACCGCGTGGTGGAGAAGTGTTCTTTCAAGTACATGAAAGCGCACTCCGACCAGTTCAACTATGTGCTGTGGAGCAACGAGCCCCCGCTCCCCAGCACAGCCATGTGCGGTACCATCCATTGCCCTGATAATCCCGAAGGAACGGTAGTGTACAAGGGCAAGTCAGGGCGAGGCAAAGCCACGTTCTCGGAAGAGCTGATAGCCAAGTGGGAGGCAGCGGAGAAGGCGGAGTTTGATGACCCTGCTTTGATGGACTGGGTGAAGAATGGAGGCAGCTTCCAGTAGGAAATCTTGTTGCCTGCTGGTCTTTTGCTCGCTGTCTTGTGTCGTCCAGCCTGTCTGGTTTGATTTGGTTTGATGGGTTTGTTCTGAAGCGATTTTGAGAGTAACTGATGGTAGTTACTCGTTTGCTTTGTAGCAGATCTGAGTTTTGTTTTCTACATTACAATTGTTTAGAGACGAAACGTGTAAACAAGTCTTGACGCCCTTCCTTCTTTCAGCATGTCTATAGGATTTCGTGCAAACTGGTGTTGGATACAAGCAAACCTGCCAACTCTCATCCATCTACATCTTTCACGACCACAATTGGCAAGTTGGGTGCAAACTATTTCTCCAATATGAGACTTGGGAAATCAGGTAGAAAGAACCAGAGGAGGCAAAGGAAACGAAGAAATGGAAGTTCAGGAAGGGGAGGAGGAGGAAGGGGAGGAGGAGGAAGGGGAGGAGGAGGAAGGGGAGGAGGAGGGAGGGGAGGAGGAAGAAGGAAAACTCATAGGGAAGCTGGTGCTGGAGCGGTTCTGGTATATTCCCATTCCCTCTTCTCGGATATAGGGCTTTGACAGAAGCGACATCACGCAGTGAGCTCCTCTAATACCAATCATCCTGCGTCCTGTGTCCTGCGTCCTGCGTCCTGCGTCCTGCTTCCTGCTTCCACCACAAGCACTCTCTTCCTCTGACTCCACCCCCTTGCCTGCCCCTCTCCCGACTTCCTCCTCGTCCTTGTCCTCGTCCTCGTCCTCGTCCTCGTCCTCGTCCCCGTCCCCGTCCCCGTCCTCGTCCTCGTCCTCGTCCTCGTCCTCGACCTCGACCTCGTCCTCGACCTCGACCTCGTCCTCCTCGTCCTCGACCTCGTCCTCCTCCTCCTCGTCCTCGTCCTCGTCCTCCTCGTCCTCGTCCTCGTCCTCCTCGTCCTCGTCCTCGTCCTCGTCCTCCTCGTCCTCGTCCTCGTCCTCGTCCTCCTCGTCCTCGTCCTCGTCCTCGTCCTCGTCCTCCTCGTCCTCCTCGTCCTC